TTTTTTTTTTTTACCAATCCTTAAACTCCAATAATTAATTACTTTAATGTGTCCGACTATGTTTCTTTTTAATTATTTTTCATGTAAATTAATGTTTTTTTTAAATCTCGTAAGGGTCTGTTTTGTGAAGATGGTAGATGGTCAGTAGGAAGTCACACATTAGTTAATTAAAGGATAATCATGAATTTATAAATAATAAATATATCTCTACTAAAAATGAGATTTTTTTAAAATAAAAAACAAAGTCACGAGAACTTAGGTTTAAAGTAAATAATATCATACCATTATTTGTACCTCTTGTTGGATGAAATCCAAAAAAGTTGGCTGTCATTTTTTTTTTTTAAATATATGTATGTATGTATATATATATTAAAACGAGTCTGGATCCATAGGAAAGCCCAGCCCATGAAATATGGGCTAAAGCGTGAAGCCCAGATTGGGAGCCCATTGCCAAGGCGATTAGGGAACTTGTGGGGTACTTTAGGTGTAGGTTGTAACCTGTCAGCTTCCTTATTATTATTATTATTATTATTATTATTGTCTATTATAATGATCCAGCTGCCCTGCCCTGCCCTCTGCCCTATCCCGTCGACTTTATTATTGGTTTTAAATTAGGGAAGGGTAAATAATTGAATGATTGATTACCCAAAATGCTTGTGAAAACGCAAACTGTGTAATAAAAATGTGTGCTTTTATTGTGGCTGAAATAATTGAAAATATTATTTGGTTGGCTCCTATTTATTATCATAATTAAAATTCATTTATATATTCCCTCCAATTGATGTGATTATTTTGCTGTCCATGTCCTTGTCGTGTCGTGTCCGATATTTAATGAAACCCTAGCCTTTGACTTTTATTGTCTTCTCTTCAAACTATCTTCCAACTCTCCTTCGTTCTCTTTTTATTTCCATTAAATTCAACTAAATATATACAATCTCATCTTAGATGATAAACGAGATCACGTTACGTGTAAAATAGAAAATAACGCTCTAATACTTGCCTTGTCTAGAATTTTGTGAAAAGCGTGGTATTAGTTGTCTAATTCGTCTAGAGATATTTGTAACATTCCCTATCAATACATATAAGATATTATCCGACCCGTTATGTATCGTCGTCAGTTTCACGTTTTAAAAATGCGTATACTATGAAGAAGTTTTCACACCCTTATAAAGAATGTTTCGTTACTTTCTCCAATCGATGTGCAATCTCACAATCCATCCTCTTGGAGATCAACGTACTTGCTGTGACACAATCTCGTGTTTCACAATCTGCCCTTTTGGTCCATTATGTTATCGTTGTTAGTCTCACGGGTTTAAAACGCATTTACTAGAGAGAAGTTTCCACGTACTTATAACGAATATTTTGTTCCTCTCTCTAACTGAATCTTAAGTTTTTGTACTTGATTTCACCTGCCACTTGTATCTGGGGGTAGATAATAAAAATTTTAAATTTAAACAGTATTTTTAAATTTATTAAAAGCTAATCTCAAGCATATTATTTTTACCTATTTGTCCTTTGCTAGATTAAAAGTTGAGATAATATGAATCTTTCTTTAATATATATCAAAATTCAATCTTCTAAATTTAACTTTAGTGATATTCGTTTATCTTTTATTTATTCCCTCACTTTTATTAAAAAGAAATATTTGATATGAAATTAACAACGCTCCTGAGCTGTTTTATTTATATAAAAAAATATTATCAAATTAATAAAATATTTTTTAAACAATATTCATACAAATTTAAAAAACAACCTAAATTTAAATTAATTAATAAATAATATACATTTTAAATATACGGAGAAATATATTTACTAATATTATAGGCAAATTAATTATATTTGGTTGCTATTATATTATTTTTATGGCTTAATAATATACATTAATTGAAAATAAAACCCCAAAACTGATTATTGTTGGCACACAAAACAAAAAATAAAAGAAATCGGTAATCATTAGTGTAAAACTAAGCTTAGGGCCAACTTAAGTAAAATGTAGTCACACAAAACAAAGATGAGCTAGTTCACGAGATTGTTAATCCACAATTAATCAAATTATAATTGGATAAAATAAAAAAATTAACAATAATATTAAATTAGTAGTCTAGTATTTAGATTTGGTGTTTAATGTTTTTTTGAGAAATGTTTAAAAATTCTTAAATTAATAATTTTGGAATATTTTTGGAAGGAATAAAGATATTTTCGAATAAAAACACAAATAAATTTTATTCAAAATTAACAATTTAAAAAGTTTATTATAATTTTTTTTAACTTAACAAAAAAAAGTCCAGAGGTTGGGTCTTACGGTCAATTCACACCGGCTACCCTCCCCGAGGCCGCACCCTCTTTTGACAAAAACCTCACCAGCGCAAACATTTTCATCTCCTTCTTCGAGAAAACAGAATAAAATTAAAGAGAAAAAAAATGCAAAACTTCCCAATTCTCACTTCTCTCATCTTCTTCCTACTCACAAACCCCACTGCAACTGAAACCTTCGGAGTCGGCGTCAATGGCGGAGTCGCCGTCAATGGGGGAATCGGCGTCGGGATCACTATCGGTAACGGCGGTGGGCCAGGCGTATGGATTGGCGGAAACGGTGGAAAAACGCCATCTGGGCTGCCGACGCCGAGGCTGAACAGAGCCTACGCCGCCCTCCAAGCATGGAAATCCGCCATTACAAGTGACCCACTTGGAATTTTGAGTAGTTGGGTCGGCCCCAATGTGTGTTCTTACAAAGGGGTTTTTTGTGCACAAGTTCAAGACGAAATGACGTCGTCCCCCGTCGACATTATCGCCGGAATCGACCTCAATCACGCCAATCTAGCAGGTACTCTCGTGAATCAGCTCTCTTATCTCACCGAAATCACTCTGTTTCACCTCAACTCCAACCGATTTTCCGGCACCGTTCCCGACACCTTCCGACAAATGTCTTCCCTCCAAGAACTAGATCTTAGCAACAATCTTTTTTCCGGTCCTTTTCCAATCACCACATTATACATTCCGAATCTCGTCTATTTAGACCTCAGATTCAACGATTTCTCCGGCCCAATTCCAGAAGACATCTTCAATAAAAAACTCGACGCCATTTTCCTCAACAACAACCATTTCGACGGCGAACTACCACAGAATCTGGGGAATTCCCCTGCTTCTGTCATTAATTTAGCTAACAACAAGCTGTCAGGGAATATCCCAACTGGGTTCGGGATCTTGGGTTCATCACTCAAAGAAATCTTGTTCTTGAACAACCAATTAACTGGTTGCATCCCCGAAGGAATCGGGCTTTTCTCAGAAATGCAAGTGTTCGATGTTAGTTTTAATTCACTGATGGGTCATTTGCCTGATACTCTGTCGTGTTTGAACGACATCCAAATTCTAAATTTCGGCCACAACCGCCTTTCCGGTGTTCTTCCCGATTTGATCTGTTCCTTGAAAAGCTTGGTGAATCTGACGGTTTCTTTCAACTTTTTTTCCGGAGTGAGCCAAGAATGTTCGCACCATTTTCTGGGGAATTTGGGATTTGATTTCTCAGGAAATTGCATTCCCGGAAGAAACATGCAGAGGCCTCCGCCTGAATGTTCTTTGATTCCTGGTGGGAGTTTGAATTGTCTTAGGTTACCTCCTGTCGTGAAGCCTCTTGTCTGTGGAACACTGGCCAAGACAACAGACAGTGATCATCCCAGCTCGTCGCCGCCATGAGAAAAAAAACGAATTTTTGTGATGAGTTTGTCATTCATTCAACACTGATCAATGAAATGTTTTGGCTAATTTGTTCCCCGGCGAGATTTGATTGATTGTTGTTCGTGAAATTCTTAGCTAATTTGTTCATTAATTACACGGATAATGCTGCTAACTACATTTAACAGACTGCTAAGTAAGATTAAAAAATAAACAAAATCTACTTCTCGTATTTAACTTAATGTTTTAAAATATTTTCATTATTGATTTGATTCCAGGTGTCAAGGAAATAGACAGTAATCAATCACTATAAAGTGGAAATTCAGAAAATTATATATAAAAATAATTGTTATGGGAAGAATATCTTCCTTGTCGTAGAAAGAGACAAATCAGTTCTTCATATACATTTTTTTTTTCTAGATTTATACTTTTAATTTTAAATTTCAATTATCACCCGAAATACAATTATTGGAAATCGACAATAGTTTTTTTTTTTTTTTTTTTTTATAAATATATTAAAATATAAAACTTTCTAGCTCTATAACTGTCCCATGTGACATTTGTGACATATGTGCCCCTATGATCTACACTACCACTAGCCTATGGCCACCGGGTGAAATCCCCCTCTAGAAGGGGCATAAATGGAATTTCAAGTGATTTTTTTTAACATGTGAAATGAGATAAAAAGAAACTATATTGTCTTTTTTCTCTACATTTTTACCAGTTTTTTTTTATTATATTTGTTGTGATTAGTTATAGTAATTTTTTGGATAATCCATCTGTTTATTATTAATATTCTTCTAAAACCCACTTCTAATCACATATAATTCCTCAATAAGTTTTAGCTAAACAATTTTTAAATTATTAATTTTTAATAATGTATATAGAAAATATCATTTTTTTAAAAAAATATTTTTTATTTTCTCGTAAAGCTCGAAACTTTATTAATTTTTTAATAAGTGTATTATGATTAATAGGAAATTAGATAATGAAAATTAGAATAAGTTAAGATGAAAGGATATTGGGCTGGATCAGGGGCGGCCCATGTTGGAGATAGAGAGCGACAACCCACATGGAGAAAGCAACTGACATGCGTAGTTCCATTTACAAGGACGTGCCACCTGGCACCTCTCCGGGCCCCACAAATCTCTGATGAGAAATGCAATCTGGAGCTATCCTTGGGCCTAGCCCATATTATGATATGGGCTTAATGTGTACATTTTAGCAAGCCCAGTAATCCGCACGTGCGAGACGGAAGTGGAACATTTTGGGTCTTATTTGGTTCTATTCCTTTTCTTTCACCTACATATTCTGGCGTTTCTTTTGTCCCTACTGATTTCTTGTTTGCTAAGGTTTGTTCGTCTTCAAGCGGTGAAATTCCTTAAAGAAGACTGAGAGATCTCTAGTTCCAAAGCTGCTTCGAGTTTGATTTCTGCTTCTACAATGTCTTCTCCGGCCGAGTAATACTGCCTCTCCATTTCTATTTCCTGTTTGAAACTCAATTTACGAATTCTGTATTTCGTTTCTCTGCTGTTCGATGCTGCAATTTGATTAGTTTTGATTTTTTTTTTCTTATGTTCAATGTCTGCTGTCATTGTGTAGTTTGATTTTAATCTGGAACCTGACCATTTTTTTTTCTCACGATTCAGATATTACAACTCTCTTCCGCCTATAAGTAAGGCGTATGGAACCCTATGCCTTTTGGCGACTACAGCCTTCCAACTTGGCTTGTTAAATCCTAAGTTTACTGCGTTGCATTTCGGACTCATATTCAAGCGTTTTCAGGTATTGACTTGAATTTCCATAGGTGTCAGAATTTATCTGTTCAATTTTTGTTCTTTTTAAACATCTGCTGACTCTTGCTTTCATCAGTGTTTTTATTCTGTTTATCCAACATTCTTCTTGATCATTCTTTATCTTTTCAAGGGGCGTTGAATTTCATACTTATGAGTGGATTGGAATTCTTGGAATTCAAGAATTTCCTGGTTGGTTGACTTATCGGTTATATTCTCGATTGATAATTTTACGGAGGCGATAAATATCAGATAAAACTCAGAATTGGAAACAATGAATGAAGATGGGATTTATTTCGAAATGAATTCCATTATTCGGTTGAGATCAAATTAATAAATAAATTCTTAGTTAGTGCAAGGAATGTTTGACTGATCGAGAATATTTTATTAGAAAAGTTATTGATGGGACATTGGAATCATCTTTAACTTAACTTTTGAGGTAATGGTTCAAGTCTTTGATAGCAACTTTAGCAACTATGTAGTCAATTCTCCTCTTATTATTAGTACTAATTTTCATTAGTGTGGGATCCTTTGAACTCCAATAAAGGTTCTTGTTTTTGGTAGGAACTTTTGGCATTGGATAGTTTTGCCCTTTTCTCCATATCGTTTAATTGTGTCTTACTTTTCTAAAATAAGGTCATGGTCTTAAGACAAATGGACTTTCCATTTAGGATTTCAAGGATTTTACGATCTTTTTTAATGTCAAGTCTTGTAAGGTAAGGCAATCATCCCATCGGATTGATTGAGACACCCTCAATGTTAATCTATCCTTCCGTACTTGTTCTCCATAGTCTGGAGGTTATAAATCTCTTTAGTTTTAGAAGTCCCTATTCCAAACAAGAGGATTAGAATTAGATATAGAACAGTTCAAGTAAAATCAAAATGAAAGTTGACCGACAAATCTCTTCATTCTAAACCCGGTGAGGAGGAATAGAAACTTGGTAAAATTTATTAATTAATTTTAAGTTTTGTATGAAGCCTAATGGTAAATTCTTTATCAAACGTCAATTTATGAAGTGAACAGTAAAGATATCTAAAAGCAGTGAAGGGAGATACACAAGAACCAGAGTTTTTACATGAAATCCAATCCAGGAAAATTATGGTAGAAACAAGTTAACTTATGCTATGGATTTTAAATTCTGACGAGAAGAATCTTTGCTCTTAGGGAAATGACACAACTTGTGAGGTTCTAACCGAGGTGTGTCTATTGCTGGTTGAGAACTAATTCTAAAAAGAAAAGAATTAGCAATTATTGTTTCTTGAATCTCGTCAATATTTGCCTATAGAATCATTGTTTTTCATCTAGGAAGTTGGTCTTTCATATCAAAGGAAGTGGTTTCGAAAAAAATTGAGAGAACAGTATAAGTTTGGCTCCTCTCTCTCTCGCCTTTTTGTTTTTGTGGTGGAATTACTTGTGTTTATAAATTTAGGTCTAACAGCATCTGATTTTTCAGTGGAAATGACTGTGCCTCAAGTAAGTCATGAACTAGAACGTTCTTTACATTGAATATTCTTAAATGATGGATGCCTTTCCCTTTGCAGTAATTCTTTAATGTGAATTCCAATATATTCTTTCCATCACTATTATTAATATTTATCGAAGGTCACCTTTATTTTCAGGTATGGAGGCTATTCACAAACTTCTTCTTCCTTGGAAAATTCTCTATCAATTTTGGAATTCGTTTACTAATGATGTAAGTTTTTGTGTGTGATAACTTTTTTTTTTTTACATGAACTACTAGCAGTACTTTTTCATGAAGATGAAGGGTTTGTGTTAAAACTTTCATAAAGGTTTATGATGCACTAATAGTTTTTGTGTTTGTGCCCTCACAGAGCAAGGTATGGTGTCCAACTTGAGAATGGACCATTTCAGAGGCGAACAGCAGACTTTCTATGGATGATGATATTTGGAGCCTTAACATTATTGGTGTGTGAAGATCTTTATTAAGTTTTCCTTTAGATTGGCCCTTTTGTATTCTTTCACTTTTTGTTGGATGCTTAGTTTTTTCGACAAAAAAAGTCTAGATGCAGCGGTTCTTTTCAGTTTTATCTTTTTGTAAAAATAGTAGATTTTGCAGATGACACCTAATGGTTAAATTGTTTTATGTCATTTAGAAGTGATAATAATGTTACGAGGGAAAGATGTGTGAAAAGGCCACCGGACTTTTGGTTGTTTTTTTCGTTGTTCCAAATTATTTTGATGGTACTTAAATCATTTTCCAACGGCTTTACTCTTTTGTATTCCTGTTCCTCGGGGATTTTTTGTTTTCCTCATGAAATCCTCCCATCTAAGAGTTTTTACTTGTTGAACCTTTATTTTAGTTTGTGTATTTGAGCATATCAAATGTATTTATGCTGATTTGTGACAAGCTTTCTTGTTATGGATACTTCCTCTTGTGTAGGTACTTTCTGCTATACCAATCTTCTATTCATCATTCTTGGGGATATCACTTGTGTTTATGCTTCTCTACGTCTGGAGTAGAGAATTTCCTACTGCACAGATCAACATATATGGCCTTGTTACTCTTAAAGTACGACCAATAGCAATGATTTAGGTTTCAAATTGTACCTTTTTTTCACCACGGGATTGTGTTTCTCAGTTCCTAATATCTGCATTACAAATGTAATGCTTTTTGTGCAGGCATTTTATCTGCCATGGGCCATGCTAGCGCTGGATGTCATTTTTGGTTCACCTCTTGTACCTGATTTACTTGGAATCTTAGCAGGGCATTTGTATTACTTCTTGACCGTGTTGCATCCTCTGGCAGGCGGAAAGAACATATTGAAAACTCCATTTTGGGTGTATCCTTCCTCGTTTTGTTTTTTAACGACAAATGTTCCTTGCCTTGTTAGTTTGAGATTATCATGCATCTATACTTATCACATCCCTCTGTTCTGCCTATTTATCTACTATATATATATATACTCATCCGTTGGGTTTTTCTATTGCTTGCCTTGCTTTTATTCAGCGTATCTTTAACAATATCTACAGACAGAGGTTAGTATCAAGGTGGAGGATTGGAGCACCACCAATTCAACGTGCAGCAGTACCTGATGATAGGGGTACAAGTGGAGCTTTCAGAGGGAGGTCTTATCGGCTCAATGGCTAAACACTATTCTGTTTAAGAAAAAGATTGAGTTTTCTAGATTGTGCCTACTAACATCGAATGGTATACAAAAAGATGGGAGGAAAGAATTCGATTAGAAGTTCATCTCAAGCGAATGTTGCATTTATGTCATGATTAGCGATCAGCAGGTGCTCATGTCTTTCGTAGTAGCAATTTGGATTACCCGAATCATGATGGTCTTGACTCGTGAGTTTCGCTTTGAGAAATTGCTTCTGGACTCTGTAACCATATAAACTCCCAACTGTTCCCAATCCTTCTGACTAGAAATTGCAGATATTTTGATGTTATATTTTTCAAAATTTTAAATATGGTATTATGATCATCACACTGGACTTTAGTTTCAGGGAATTATTATTTTGGTAACGTTGATGAACTTTTCTATACATATTCAGAAGTAAAATAGACAAGACCAAAAAAAATCATTTGATTAGAAATTCGAACTCCCCTTAGATCCCTTCTTACAAGGTGAAGTTACAAGTTCAATTACAAAATAAGGAAAATCTGAGATTTTCAGAGAACTTGGCTGACCCCATCATCATGAAATTTTGAAAAAACATGATACGAAGGCCAAGATAAGTAGACCTGCAGAAACTCCAATCGCTGAAGAAGATGATGATGAAGTTGAGGACATTGCTGTTGTATTACTGGAAGAAGTCGTCTTGTTCTTCCTGCATAGCCATTAAACAATAAACAGCAAAATTTATGAAACCAACAACCAAAATAATGTCAAGTTTGCTTCCATTCCAAAAGAAAGAGCTTACCCAACAACGGTCGCGTATACGCAGTTGTCATAGCCTGCAAAGACAAGTTACAAACTCAAGTTTAGGAACCAAACCGGGCAGCTAAAAGAATATCAAGAAAAACTTGATCCTCGTAGGTCTTATAACTAAGTTGATTACGTGAACAATCTGCGATGAGATTGGACCTCGGGAACTCGTCGATGACTAATTTAAGTGGGGGAGAATATCACAACCATACTATGAAGCGAGTAGGTTGTGACCTCACGTTGAGACAAGTAAAGCAGCGACCCTCAAAAAGCTCCCATTCGGTCACGCGAGGGCCAATAGAGAAGAATATCATGATGTAACTAAGGAGGACGGTGCATCATCAAACACATCATATGATGTTGAGCATTGAAGAGGAAATGAGGCATAAGCATGATGGGCCAATGAAAAGACACGAGTGTCACGGATAGGCTTGTTGAAGGGTCAAGTAAAGACCCGGGCCTTAACCTCAAAAGTCGGGATTTCAAAGGGAATTTGGACACGCGGTTAAAGACACTAAGCTACATTTGTTTGCCAAGTAACTATATCTAGCAAACAGATATATAACAACACTGAAATGTCTAGGAAAGACAACCAAGAAAACCTGGGTTTATTTTGACTTACTTGGATCCTGGCTAACTTTAACTCCATTCCCTCCAAAGCCACAAGCAACATCAGTAGCTCCATTCTGCTGAAAATAACTGTTAAACGCATAAGATGCATGAGAAACAAGAGTATCTGGCTCAAAACAAGGCTGGCTTGGCTGGATGGCTGTGCAATCGACATTCCCCGAACTACAAGCCCAATCCAATGCGTTTTGCAAGTCCATATCGGTCGCCTTGCTCGAAGCAATGCACCAGTCGGTTCCATTAGAACCAGTCATATTAGCCTGTGAAGTCATGTCTACTGCACTTCTTCCTGTAAAATCCAAGTTGTAGACACTGGTCTGGTCTGGATAGAACAATCCCCAGTTCCTTTCAGAATCCAACCCTGGCTTCCTGTTTTCATTAAACAAAGAGAAGATATATACATCCAGTTCCTCCCCTGGCCTTGCAGGCGTCCCGGTGTTATTAATAACATGTCGGATAAGATTCGTGTTGTAAGTTTGCGCATTGTCGGGAGTTGCAGCTGTCTCCTTTGGTGACCCTTTAGATGGCCAACCTGTTTCTGTGACCATGACTCTAATTGTTCTAAAATTTAGAGCCATCAAAGCAAAATAAAGAGCATCAATCTGAGCATCAAACATATTCGTATAAAGCAGACCAGTATTCGGATCGATAACTTCAGACGACGATTCGAAAAGAGCATAGTCCAATGACACATTGCTAGGGGATTCTCTGTAAGCATAATAAGGATAAATATTGATCATAAAAGGAGACTGATTCTCAGCAAGAAACTCCAACAATGGTTTCAAGAAGAATGCAAAATCACTACTAAAAGCGCCAGCTGAGGGAGGGAACGACCGAGACAAAACTCCGAGCGAATGAGTGCTAGAAACCTTTATCTTCTTGTGCAAACCAGCCTTCTTAAGACCAGTGAGTACATTGTTCATGGCAGGCACCACCAAGGCAGACACATTGTGAGGGCTCTCCGTGACCTCGGCACCAACCGTAATGTATGTTATTTTCGCAGCCGGGTAGTAGGGAAGAATGCTATTCCTCAGCCAAGTATCTACATTTGACTGAAACTGAGCGAATGGCAGCAAATCGGAATTCGGTATCCCGATCATAAGTTCGACACCGGTGTTGGCAAAGGCCTTGAGAACCTGAATATTTGAATCATAAATTCTAAGGTATTTGATGTTATGAAGTTGAACCAATTGGGCCACTTTATTTGGTGTTGGGAGGTCATCTGCATTTCTTCCATAGCAAATTCCAACATTACTTCCCTGGCAATGGCCTGCAGGAAACATACAGCCTTATTTCAAGCATGAAAACGAAGACAATGGTGATTTCTACCAAAAGGGTTTGTTGTTTCCTTTCTTACAAAGGGTTTCAAATCTTTTATTCTGTAATCTATGATTTCTATCAATACAAGCACAGAAATATGTTACTAAATAGGTTGAATAATGATTAGTTTACTTCAGTTTAGCTAAAGAAGTAGCAACAATGCCAATGGAAGATCCAACAAGTAGAATCAGACAAAACCGCCGCAAGAAATGTCAAATGTGGTACCAAATCGAAGAGGAACACACCAAGAACAGTGAACAGAACAGCAAAAATGAAGAACACGAAGAGGAAACAGAGAGCTACAAACCCAAGAACATAAGCAGCAGTGAAAACCCATAGAAAATGAGATTGAATCCAGCCCTGTGCCCCATTCTCCTTCTCGTTATCACCTGAAATCCAGGCCTTCAAGTCTCAGTCCAACTCTGCTGCGGGGTTTGTGTAGAGAAATGGGAATGAGGGATTTGTAAGATTCTGGTTTAGAACAGCAACGGCTCGTTTTGCTTTCTAAAAAGGCACCCACTGTGAGGATTACAGAGCTCGAGATTACGGTTTAAGACTAAAACAGAGCAAAATTAGCTTAAAAAGCCACTCTCTGGCGGAGGCTATGGAGAGTGTCGGGGACAGGGGAAGGAGTGTGTCAGCATAGGGACCGGACTTCAGAGGAAAGTATTAAATTTTGTCTATTGAGATTCCTCGATTCCGGTGCCCAGCATGTCTGTTCCCCACTCATTTATATATACCGTTCCATTCACTACCCGCCGGAACGGTTCCGTTCCATTTCTTTCTTTTTCAGCAAATTAAAAAACATGTTTCTTCTTCTCCAATTTTTTTTTTCTTTTTTATAAATAATGTATGAATTTATGGTCTTTTTCTAAAATTAAATTTGTATATAGCAGTAAAATTAAATATTTAATTTTTACATGAAATGAGAAATCATTAAATATTTTTAGTACGATGTAGAATTAATGTAAAGTTTGAGAATTTTAATTCTCTGCTTTAAATAATATAATAATTACTTTTGAATTATTTACTCCAATGGGTCAACTTGTTCATTTGAATAAATCTCGACTCCATATCCTTTCCCGAAATGGAATTGGTCTAGTCATTTAATGGATCAGCCCAAATATTATGGGCCTTGAAAAATAGAAAGCCCAATCGGTTCATTTTCCAACGGCCCAAGTTAGATTGTCAATGGGCTGGACGACTCTAAGCCTATTGGGCCGAAATTCCCCGACATTATGGATAAGAACAAAGATCGGGACAGCGTGGATTAGATAACAGAAAATTGATGGAAATGGCTGTTTGCAGTAACCATCTCCATGTCCATAGTGACTTGTGCCCAACTCCACTTTCCCTTCCTATCTCCTCACTTTATCGTATAAATTTAGTTTCTACATTTCTTTTCTTAAAAAAAATTATAATTTAATTTATTCTCTCTAATTTATATTTGCTTTATAATTTTGATAAATGAGAATCAACAAATTCAAACGTTTAAAAAAAAATTATCGTTAAAATGAGATGAATAATTGTTAAAAACTATGTTCTAATATTAAATTTTGATTTATTAGATTTTTTACCAGATAATATTAATAAATAAAACCTTTAAAATAACTCTGTCTATTTTTTCTCTAATCTAAAAAATAAATGCAAATTTTCATGAAGATAAAGAATGAAATAGAGGGTGGAAAAGACTTGTCCTCGTCCCACCCGTAGATATCTCTAATGACATGACTTAAAAATAGGTTACGACACTTATTATAAAAATATTTTAAAAATATGTCTTAAAAAGTAATTATGGGGAAGATCTTTGTTTGTTGTGAAGAGAAAAATACATTTAACCATGGTAAAAATACTCCAAAGCACAACTTTACCTTTAACTTTATTGAAAAATGTGGTTTCCGAAAAGCTTGGTTTATCCAAATATTGAATGTTTATCTTGAAATAGAAGCTCCCCTCAAAACCCAAGTTGTTCAAGTGTAGAGGTTTTTCCTTTCTAAAGTTTTCTTTTTACATAAATGGAAATTTCGTAAATCAATTTGGATTAGAAATGTCTCGTGCACTAAATAGCATCACCGTTCTTTTAAAGTGTTGGATTAGAATTCCTTGGCGTAGAGATATTAACCATCGTGATTTAGACCCATTTCAAATTCCGCTCATATATTACATTTTTACGTTGGTATGAAGATGAGTAGATAGTGAGAAATCACTACAAAGAAAGTAAGATTTGAATATCAAATATCTCAAGATAAGAACACTTGTTTCAGATTTGAATCACTCCATAGACAAAAAATCAATCCGGAATGATTAAAAACATACAATCTAAACTACATAAAATTAAAAAGAAACCTAGCCTTCGACTAAAGAAAAACACAAATACTCTTTTTATTATATTTTCTAAACCCCTTACTTTTACATAAACAACCTACATAGTATTTGAAAAGTTGTAATTTTCATCCCTATAATTAGTTATTATAACTCTAAATTATCATCAATCATACACAATAATGAATGAAGTTTGATTTCTTTAATTATTCCTTCCTCAAAGGAAGGTTGATGATGTAGATGAACATAAAAGAATGGAATAATGTCATGCCTTTGTGAGGCAAAAGTAAGGAAGATGTTACTAGAAAATGACAGAGAGGTGGGAATTCAGTACGTTGTGGATATGTCTTCCAAATTTCAGACCTTATCTTCTTTCCTAGTAATATGGGAGAAGGCAACACAAAACTCGGACCCCATCTTTTTTTTTTTATCATCAATTTTATCTTATAATAAAACGATGATAATTATTGATTGATGATAAAGGGTTGGGTTTTTGGATAAAGCAACAAAAAGGGGAATTATCTAACTTTTATGCTACATTTAATTATAAACTAAGCTTTCCACGCATATATAAATAGCTTTTCAAGCGCACATACTACGGTTGCAATATATAATACCTTTCTTCTTCTTCTCCTTCAGATTGATTCCAATGGGAGAATTGCAAGAAACTCAGCGTCTTTATGTTGATGAAGCTCAGAGTGGTTGTTGCAGAACGATCATGGAAGATTGTGAAGCTTCAATGGAGTCTTCCATGGAGTTTAGTTCTGCAAATTCTGAAGCATCTTCTTCTTTGGAGATGGTGGAAGATGCCCTTTCTACAGTTTCGGATTCTTCATTATCATCATCTTCTTCTTCAAATGGACCTCTTTTTGAGCTATCAGAGCTTATGGTTCATCTTCCGATGAAGTAAGTAATGGGATAAATTTTTTTTAAAAAAAACATACCCTTTTCATGATCTTTCTTTGGATACACATTATGATTGAAAGAGTTGATCAATATGACTAATGGGAAAATTTTGAAATGGTTTTGTTTTTGCAGGAGAGGGCTGTCTAAATATTATGACGGCAAATCAGAATCTTTCACATCTCTAGCAAGTGTTGAAAGATTAGAAGATTTAGCGAAGAGGGTTTGTCCAATTAGAAAAAAGTTCAAATCTTGCAAGAGTGTTGGAGGAGGATTTGATGGCCATAAATCCATTGTCCCAAGAGCTACCTTAGCCAAGAAAGCTTCAAGATCAAGAGGGAAAAGTAGTCTGATCTGTGGTTCTAGGTCTGTAGTTTCTGTGAATTGGCACTGATTATTTGCTACCCTTAAATGACTTGACTTGTAAATTTTCAAGCTCATTTCTCCCCTCTTTTTTGTTCTTTTATAAAGAATTTTATAACTTAACCTATCATTTTAAAACATGGGTCCTTCCAGAAAACGAGGAGAATAAATTTGTAGAACCTGATATCAAATGTTGGAAAATTCACATGGGACAAGATAATAATGTATTAAAGATAATCCTAAAGATCACAAACCATTGGTAGAATTTGAGTTACAAATTCTCTCTGTTGAATGAAAGTCTCACATCGGCTAATTTAAAAAATGATCGTGGATTATAATCAAGGAATACTATGTTCATTGGTATGAAGCTTTTTGGGATAGCCCAACGCAAAACTACGAGACTTTATACTCAAAGTAGACAATATTGTACCATTGTAGAAAGTCGTGTTCATCTAACCCTAAGAACACTTTTGATTTTGTTTATAACTGATTCTGAGAAACCTGATTCAATATCTTGGACAAATTACACCGGGGGAAGTGGTAAATGTGACGAGCCAATTAATGAAGCAAAATAAGAAAGGCCTTCACAGGGTCAATAGAAATGTAAATTAAAGGCCAAAGCTTTATAAGCTTAAACCAAACTAGAACACTACAATGTTCTGTATGGATCCTTGTTTTTCCTTCTTTCCTCGCTCAGGCGCAACTCTAATGTCGGAAAAGATAGCAGAGATGGATAGTGAAGTGACGGAAATCAAAACAGTCTTCTGAAAGGGGATCGGTAAATTGTGCTCTTTAGAGGGTTATATTTTGTAAACAGGTACAATTCCGAGAAGATGGAAGCATTTCCTCATCACTGTGCCTGTGGCTTCACAGAGCAGGAGCCTGCTGGTTTCCTCAGCTGACCCAACGACCTGACAAATATCAGACCATCAAACATTGATGAAGTTTTAACTTTTTGCGAGAAAACGTCGGTGGCATCGAGAATGCATTTATGTCGAGGTAGTACAAATTTAGTGAGCTTTTTCCAGCTCATTCCCTAGGATGGGAAAAGATAAAAAACGCCTTGATGCAAATGCCACAAACAAACAAAATGATTAAGAAAGGGAGCTTTACATTCTAAGTTATTAAAGGTAACTAAGTTGATAACCCAGGCATAATTAGCTGCCACGAGCTATCAATCGACAAGAGCTAATGATTTAGAAATTGTCCAACATGAATTAGTGGGATAATGATATTATACATTAAGAATGAGATAATGGTCTCAAAAAGTCAGCTATACCTGGCAATTGGAATAGAATTTTTTCGTAAATATTTCGGATAAGTTGTACAGGTATTCACACAACACATTCGGCAACAGATTGGTGCATGCTTCCTCCACAACCTAGAGTAGAGAAAATGGAAGAAAAGTATTTACCACGCGATAACTTGTATCAAATATAAAATGGTTTGAGTCAGACGCAAAGCCACAGTTACTCAGGTCAATCAAATGTATGTTTTCTTTACCTCGGCAAATTGTAACAAATGAAGCCCCAATACACGCTCGTCCTCGTGCTCCAACACAATTGTTCCCGTCTATCAAATAACGGTAGACTTAATTTAGAAATAAACGCAAAAGTGCTGCTCCAGTCCAACTAAAGTCTTGAGAAGAACATGTTCTGGAATTTGGAAGAAAACTTACTTTTTTCAACTCCTCTATATTTTTACCAGATTTTCTGATGATTGAACAGATACGAGCATGGGCATACAGCAAATACACAGCAGTGTTGCCCTAGTGAACACAAAATTTGGGCGTGTAAGTAGAGTGGACGATGGACCGTTTTTTTCCAGAGGCAGTAGAGATACATTTAGCTTGTTGACTTGACTTTCGGTAAATTATAAGCTATGCCTAGAACCAGTTGAGGAAGTGTACCTTATCATTGAGCATCTGATCAAAATTGAACGTATAGTTGGTCAACCTGTTGTTCTTAAGGTCAGCATATCTGCCAAAACAATTTGAGAACATAAAAGTATTAATAAACGATTCTGGACAACATAAAGTATTAATAAATGATTCTGGGCATTCGCATAGCGAAGCAAGAAGCAGACTAAGTATTAAATGATAAAAATACTTAGAAACAAGTAGCACATAAAAGAAGGCACAGACAGGCCCAGTATGAGCTAACATGGTTGGGAGATTATGAACAGCTTTCAGTTAAAAACAAATGGAAGATGCTAAATTCTTTGGTAGGGCAGCCCAATCTCCAAATATACATAAAGTCATAATCTCTCCCATAGCCCCCGAACAATCCCCAAAATTTCTCTCATTCCTAACTAACGATAATCCCACAAAATGGTAAATACAGAAACAACAGACATCAGTCAAAATGTTGGAGACTTATTACAATAATACTAGAATCATTCTTCTAGTTCAGACAAAAGCCACAATTTTCTTCCTAAAACTGAATCATCGGAATAAGGTTTCAGGCATTTCATAATTTAAATTCATAAATTAGAAGATCCTATGCAGTGTTAAGCAGCATAGATTCATTGTTCATAATGGGTCCAGCCGTTCAGGTAGCAGCATCAAGTGAATTAGACTAAATTGTCAGTAGCCCACTCAGTTCCAACCTTTCAGGCAATATGGGAAGATTGTGAATCCTAACATACTGCAGTCTAAATAAAATCCAAACTTTACGATAATGATCCAGAAGATTAGCTATGATCCCCGATTATATATTAGCAACACAATAACAGTCTATCATTAGACATACAGTACAGCATCCTTAAAAACCCATGTACGCCTAATGTGCTAGATCTACTAATACTCAACAGATACAGAGATAAATGTGTTATGTTATGATGAAAATCATTTACAGTGGTAACAATTAATAGTACTGAAAGGGACATCGAGGATAACCTATAGGATTTATACAAGAGGCATAAAAAGGTACGGCCAACAATGAAAATGGTAACCTACTTAACAGCACCATAACCAACAGCTTCAGCAATTTGTTCAAGCTCTTCCTCAGACCATTCTGCAGCTTTCTCTAAAGACGGTTAACAAAAATCAATTACATAGTAAAACATGTGGAAGGTTGGCCACAAAAAGTTTCAAAAAAAAAAATGAACACGTTGGCCTTCACTAAATTTTACAACGTAAAGCAGCAAGCTGCACATTTTTTTTTAGGAGATAAAACAGAGTTCTTAATAGTCATTATTATTATTACCCCTTTCAAGAAGTGCAGCTTTACTGCGGCTCTTGGCTTCATCAAGCAAATCAACTAAACGAACCACTTCGGTATTTCGAGTTCGAAAACGCTTGCCATCTTCCCCAAGAACCAACCCAAAACCAACATGGGTTGTTTTGGGATGCTTATTATCATCAAGTGGAAGCCAACCAGCACGTTTACAAGCCTGAAAGAAATAGCCATAATTACTTCCAATTTAAGCATCCACTTCATCAATTTAAGACAATAACCAATTCATTAAATAATTGTTTGCAACAGTTTGGTGGATCAGTGATGACCAGGTCTACAGCAATTAATAATCATATGATATGTACAAACAAAAGAGAGGAGATGTAACGCCAGTGATTTAAAAGGTGCGCCTATTCTCAAGTTGCATGTGAAGCACCTTGCCTATGGTAGGAAGCCGAACTCTAGCTTGCCTCCAGGGTTCAAAGTAAAACAATGGGCTTAGGTTAGTTATTAATAAGAAATTATGAAAACCCTAAAGGGAATGGCTTCTGCGTTTAAAGTTTTATGTTTATTATTATTTTTCGTTCCTAACCTTCTTCAAATCGAACCCCCCTCCCAAAAAAAAAAAAAAACTTCGACCTAACTGATTGCTGTTGCCATCAACAGAGTTTGTGAGTGGTAAGTCTTTCTCTCTCTCGGTCTGCTCTCTCTTAGTCTCTCAATCTCCTTTCTCCCATTTTTCTCAATTGGATGCTTCTCCCTCTCCATTTCACTCCTCACTTGATTCCCCTCTTTCCATCTCATTCTCAGTAGTTTTTAATCAGTATCTCTTTCTTTCTCTAACTATTTGCAATTTCTTAAGATATTGTTAGTCAGTCTAAGTTTCAAATATGAGAATTAATTTGATTGGTTAGGTCGGTTATTGGTAATTAGTTAGATGGCCAAGGATAGACAGAGAAAATATCTTGTTCGGATAATGATGATGATATAAATGCATTAGTTTGTGGTTTTTGTTCAAAAGCAACAAATGAGGAGTTTATAGAATAAAGCAACACCTTGGTAGTGGTTATAGATATGCAACGACACATAGAAAATGACTGGATCATGTGAAGGAAGAAATTAAAGCATACATGTCCAAGAATACTTGAACCTATGTTAAAAGACTAATACTTGAATCTTATTTATCTTTTATATATTTTTCTTGGTTAAAACTTCATTTCTTCCCATGAAAGCTTTTTATTGTGTATATATACTTACATAGTGCCCCTTAAAAAAAAAGCTTTTTTTGTGGTGCCTAAGCCCCAGAGGTCCATGGCACCTTAGTGCGCCTTGAGCGTTTAAAAACATTGTGTAAGCCAGCAACAGATCCATCAAATAATTACTAACTACAGTTCAAAGGGCCAGCCACCAAGTCCAATAACCATATATGCAAGGAACATGAACGGATAAAAAAAAAATTCATGTCAGAACAGGAATTGCTCCAGACACATACCCGGAAAACCATGTCAAAGTGCTGCTGCTGCCCAACATCAGTGACATATATAATCCATTCAGCTTTCTCTTCATTAAGGCGATACCTGTTTGGTGTAAGCAAAAAACGACCAATTAGAATGTCTAAGGTCCACAAAATTTTGAAAATCTTGCAATCAGAGGGAATCCAAACAGGCACAAAATTGATAGATCATTTTTTGGAGATAATATATTGATAGGTCATAATTAATCATAATGATGATGAATGTCAACTTTGAAGCTTTTTTTCTTTTTTTTTTCTTTTGACAATGTCAACTTTCAAGTTATTCATAACCTGTGACAATAGTTCCATTAAAAATATGGTAGGATAGAGAAAAACTGACCAGATGGCCGTAAGATCAGTTGAAGCATAATTGAAACCACCGTCACTCTTGACAACAATTAGAGGTATATTT